GCAGACATACAAAGCAGAAAATATGCTATCCGGAAACTCGTGTGTGAGTGAATTTTTTTTTCTTCTGTAATCAAGAATATCAAACCATTTGGTCAAGTACTGTGCTTTCAAATATGTTCGTACAGGTAACGAATCTCAGAGATAAATAGAAAATCAATGCGACAAAGTTACCCACTTCTAGTAAGGTGGTCTTTCAGAGTACGTTGTGAAGACGATATAGAAATGAATGGTCAAAATTTAAATTTAATATACCCGAAAAAATGTTCCTCTAACGATCGTGAATTTCTTGTCAAACATTTTCATCACCTCCCACAAACAGACATTTGATTCTAGACAAAACTACGTCAATAGCTATTATAATTGTGAAACGGTTCTTTTAATTAGCAGGAAAGTTCTATTGCTATCAGCATGTAATATTGTTATTGTTTGGTAGAGTCACACTGTTGTCATTAATTTCGTTTAATATCAGTGATCATAAAATGTTCCGCTTCGCAACTTCAGCAATTAAAAATGTTCTTTACATTCGTTCAATGTGTGAAATCGAAGAACTGAAATTGATTAAAGAGTGAAAAAATAAATAATGGGAAAATAAAATTTCAACTTTACCGCTTTCGTGACATTGAAGCTTAAAAATGAAATTCTCTTTGACAGTTTCTCTGTAATAACCAGATTAGAAGATTTGCTAAAAACTTTGAAAACTTTCTGGTGATACTGAATTAATCTGAACAAAACCCACTTTTCTGTTTTTACCATGTAATTAAAGGAAATTCTCGACTTCAAAGAAAAATAAAGACGAGATTTAGTGAATTATTTCTTTTAATGCGGAGAATTATACTTGTCGACGGTGTGTTAATTTCTAAAAGAATGAACGTGATTAATGGTCTCCAGCCCAATAAATATACTGCGTTTCCCATTACAGAGGGAAATAATACACATGTATTTCTGACATCACAAAATTTTAGTAGGTTTGCTTTTGCCTTTACTATTTCCGCTGTTGCCCCCCAGTTGCGGACTTACAACACTAGAAATCGAGTTTCGATACCCGTGGTGGGCAGAGCACAGATAGCCCATTATGTAGCTTTGTGCTTAACTTCAAACAAACAAACAAACTTTCCGCTGTTAATTAATAATGATCTATGAAGTTTTAATTTAATAATGATGATATGCAATACCTTCGAAATACCTCCCCCCCCCCTCACACATATATGGAATATTATTATTATACAATATTAGGAGCATGAAAATGGAAATGAGAATCTTTCGTAAAACAAAATAAAAAACACTAAAACGTGAATTTCAACGCATGAGGGCTACTGGAAAATAATCCTTAAATCAAATAAAAATCGCATGCGTAAAAATAACTTGTGTGTAACTCAACCCAATCGTTAAATTAATAAGGTTTTTCTGATTCTTGAAAGCACCTTAAAAACTCCAGATTTTTTTTCTGAGAAGGTATGGACATAATATAGAAACAGGATGAGTTTTTTCTTTATTTATTTAAAGGATGCTCTGAAACTTTTCATTTACTGCATAGACATAAAACATACGAGATGCTTAGAAAATCCAGTTTCTTCTACAATGAAATATTTATAACAATACAGCAACTACCTGAAAATATAAACAAACACATACTAAGATTATTGGATCTGTGTTAAAATGCCAGAGTTAATCTACTAAGACTGAGCAGAGATCAGCTCTAAGTAATGTGTCAAAGTGAGTGTTATTGAACAGAAAAAACAATTCTAAGTAATGTGTCAAAGTGAGTGTTAGTGAAGAGAAAAAATCATACTAATTAATGTGTCGAAGTGTGTGTATTCAACAGAAAAAAATCTAATTAATGTGTCGAAGTGTGTGTATTCAACAGAGAATGGTAATAAGTAACGTATTTCCGCTGTTATATATATATACACCTGGAAAAAAGTTAAGCACCCCCGTATTATTTTCAAGTGATTCAGATTCGACGTTCTTGTGACTGATTATAAATTAC